CGGTTCCAATTTTGCCACTACACATGTTCCGCAACAGATCAGGGGAGCCAACCTTTTTTTTTTTCACTATTTTCACTTCTTTCATTAGTTTCATTAGTTTCATTAGTTCCAATTCCTGTATTTCCTTCATTTCCTGCATTAGTTCGTTCCATCTTGCTTAACTGAACACAGCCCAGCTATTTAACCGTTTAACGGTGTACATACCAAGAAAAACACGATTACAAGCTTAGAATGGCGTATGGACTAACTTGAATCGGTCCTTTGAGCCATATATGCACCAAATCAACCAAGTTTGAATCTTGTTAAATCTCGGAATAAAATATGCGACCAGAAATTTTTAAACAGATCTTGAGATCGTCTGGATTGTATAATGTAAATCAGATTTTACTTGGTAATTATTTTTTTTCAATTTAAATAAAAAATATTAATTCAGAAAAGTTATGATTATGTTCAGATTATAACCTTCAAGGTTTATAAATAAAATCCTTCTAAATAAAGTGTAACCTAACAATTTCTAATGACAAATCCTTGAATAATGCTAAAACGTTGAAAGTGAAACTGAGAACAATAAAAACTAGTTTTTAATATTTTAGAAAATGAAATGATGTAAATACCAAGACAGTTCAAGCTTTAGCACAAATTGTGTTTATATGAACAGAAAAGGAATTTTACAATTTTTTTTGTTTATTAAAGTGAGTACATGATTCTGAAATATACATTTGTTCTACAGGTATAGCAAGAAGAAGTGGTATAACTTTTAACACAATTCAACATCAAAATATAGAAGCATTTAGTACAGTAGCAGATACGAAAAAATGGGATTTATACAGTGCTATTTGTTTAGAACGTCATCCAATTATAACATCACCAATGCAAGAAGTAGAAGCAAAATTTTCTAATTTGCTAAGGAAAATTGAATTTGAGAACAGTTTAAAGAGCAATCACGAACTAAGAATAGAAAGGGAAGAGAAACAAAAGCTAAGTAGTGATGACACCAATTTAAATAAAAGTGAAATCATAATGCAAACTGCACAAGATTTTGAAGATAGTTGTCAAGAAGAACTAAACAATTTTAAATTTGGATCGACAATTACAAGTATGAACACATAAAAATTTTATATATAGAGAATATAGAAAGAAAATATAATAAAATTTTTTAAGATATTAAAACCCGAAAACTATTGTAAACTATACATATACATATACATATACTTAGACATACATACATAATATTTGTACATAGTTAAATGTTTTAGTTTTTATATAAATTTTTTACATCAAGTTTTTAATAAAGAGCTACTTTTAGAATTTGACAAACAAAATATAACGTCATCTCCACAACGTAAATTGGACAAATGTTTACTTCTATTAGTACAACAAAAAGTTGGAAATGGATATTATTGGATTCCTCCTCAAGGCATTCGACAGGATGGAGAGTCGATGAGACAAGTAAATATATAATAAAGATATTGTTTTAAAAACAATAATTTACGTACCAGCAAATCAACTTTAATTATCTTACTTTGCAGGCCGCGGAAAGAATATTGCAAGATGCATGCGGTGACAACATAAAAGTAAAATTTTATGGTAACGCACCTATTGGATTTTACAAGTACAAATATCCCAAAAAGCTTGCCACACAGGAAAGTTATGGTGCTAAGGTGTTCTATTTTCTGGCAAAGTATGAGCGCGGAGACATTACTAATAATGTTAAACATCAATGGCTGGATCACGAGGAATTAGAAAAAGTACTACCTAATGGAGTAAAAAAGAGTATTTCACAGTTTATATTATTTACATAAATAAAAATATATTCTTATGAATACATCTCAAAATCGCCCAGATCTCTTTCGTCCGGTATACTTTGTATCGGCTCTAACTTGATTTCCTTGTCGTCGTCGCCTTTCCTTCTTTTCAAGAATCCATTCTCTACTTTTTTTCAGTGATTTACCTCTAGCTTGCTTTATATATTCCCTATATACGTAAATTTATAAAATTATTAATACTTTTTAAAATAGGAATACTTCAAAAATAAAAATGCAAGTGCTATGTTATTTAAGTATAAGAACCTTTTTGAATTAGCAATAGTTTGTCTATCTTCACTCTCAGTGCCTAGTGCCTTTGGGAGCGGAGCAGCTCCACCTGTCATTAAAACTAAAAACATTTTTTTCGCTTTTGTACTGTTTGGATAATCCACAAGTACGCCACCAAAAAAACCAGCTTTTGTAGCTTGCGCAGTGATTAATTCAACTTGATCACTGTTCTCAGGATAGAATTGTAACACTGCTCTGGCATTTCTCGACAAGCATGCAAACAATGATGAGAAAAAGCTATATAAACGCTTCACTGGATTGTGTGAAGTTTTGTCTGCATAACACAACCATTGCAATGCTGAAATACTGACGGCGCCATCAAATATGCCAGCTCTAAAGGGCAGTCCCTGACCCATATCTCCTAATATCAAATCGCCATCTATTTCTCTCTCTTTAGCTATGTCTGAAAAATTACAAATACAGACATAAGACCATGTAACGTCTATACAAGATTATAAACGTAAACATCTTTTATAAGTAAAAATTCTTTTAATATATTTTGTATGTAACTATAAAAAGAAATCTTAAAATAACAGTGTTAACACATTGCATTACAGTAAAATACTACCTAGCATAGCTGAAGAAATATCAACTCCTATCCATGTATGTCCTTTATCTTCCAACACACTACCACTAAGGCCTGAACCACAACCAATATCCAAAAGCAAACAGCTCTGATCTTCAGGTAACATAAGCAATTCTATAGCACGTTCAGACATCTGTTCTTGAATTTCTATCATACGGGAACTGTAATGTAAATATTATTACACATTAATTGCATGGTATCAGAAAATAAGACTTTAATTGGGTAAAATAAGATTATATTTTTAATATTATTAGAAAAAATAAAATTTTAATTTAATCATTTTTGTTTTTAATTCTTTGTAATCAAGTTCCATATTAAAGTAAAAATTCAATATACTATTTTACAATAATTTAGTGTAAAAGTTTTGGAACACTTGTGTACATAATAATAAAATGAACTTTGCAAGAGATTAGTAAAACTTAAATATATATAAAAAATTGTAACACACATACCTTTGTGTATATTTTTTAGCTTCTGTTTCATTGTAATACTGTCAGAAAGAAAATGTAAAATTAATTTTTCTTCAAACTTAGAAAAATGTTTAACGATATTTCGAACTTTGAAAAGTTCGAAATTTTACTTGGAAGTAAAACATTTGTTAAAAACTTACCACCTCAGGAGGTGCTAAGCGTTCTGGACGTTTAGACATAACGTTGAATCTGTTCGATAGTAAAAAAAATACCTTAATTAAACGTTAAATAAGATGCCGATTACAAAATTTACTCACTGAACAAACACGTGTGTAAATCACGTGTAAACTAAGCTATCACAGCAAGAAACCTAACCTAACCTAACCTGTACGACCTTGCTCGAACTAGGAGGTCAATTCTGTATCCATGCAATGAAAATTACAGCAAATTTACTAGTTGTTGACCAATAAGATGATAGATATTTTAGTGGATTCGCTCACTTTTGTAATTGAGTGCGTTCTGACAACTCAACAGTTGAGCACAACGGTTGAGAGATAGTTACATATGATTGGATCATACTTTTGGAACCGTACCAAGTTTTGAAGAATAGTCCTATCATAAGTAATGATCTTTCAACTGTTGAGTTTTCTGAACGTAACCATTTTCACTACAGTGCGTGATACAGAATTGACTCCCAGAACCTCGTGACGTAAACTAGTGGTGAAACTTTGAGCCCGCGCTCGTTTTGCTTTACAATTCTTTCGAATGTAGTTTGCGCGTTCTTGTGCCACAAAATATCAGTCTTATTACATATCAATAGATATTGTTCGATGAAATATGTTCACTTTATTAAAAAAGAAAGCCGAGAAATGTATTCGTTTTTATTATATATTTATTAAAAAATCAATATCGCAACGTTCTGCCTGTATCACACTTTGGACAAGCTTTATGTTTGAAATGCAATGTCACCAATCATGACGAAGTTCACTAAATTTAAAAGTAGATATCTTTCTTTTGATTGGTTCAATTCCAATCCAATCGCAATTTATAGTATGAAATGGGCTTTAAGATCACGTTTTTTTAACATACGCGTGCGCATGGACATGTAACCACAGTGCGTGCTCTTGTCGCCGCGTTCTGTAAACGCGATAAATTCCCTAACCTTTGAAATCGGTATCTTTAACGTTAAATAATTCATCTTGCAGATCGTCGCGTTTTTCTGCCAGATGTTTACGTTTCGCGAAAAATCGTGTCGAATAAGCATAAAGTTGATCGGGACTTGAGATGAGGTAGCTAAAGTAAACAATTATCGTTGTCATTTGACATAAGGACCGCCGCGGGAAACGGCTGACTTTTGTTTGTCCTCGCGCAGGTCGAGATCCTCGAGCAGGTATGTATACAAGATGTACGATGAGAAAGACAGAGAGCGCATTAAGAGTGTGAGCGAGACATCTTTATTCTATACCGACAAAAGTGAGACAGGTGTTTCGAACACGTCGTAAAGATAACGATGCTCGAGTTCCGAAAAGGGTCGGCCTAAACATAAACAAGGTGAGAATAAAACTCGAAAACAGCAGCGCGCGCGAACACTTATAGATAATATAATATTTGTAATCAGAAAAATTGTCTCTCGGGCGTGATTTTTAAGAAAATAGTCAAAAAGATAGAGAAAAATCAATTCGTTAATTTAAGTGAGAAAAATCTCGGAGTCAAATGTGCACCATTATTATTCATTCGTATTTATCAAAACGTCTTAAACACTAAATCCGGTTGTATAGCATTCGCAACGTTTTTGTTTTTGAGGATTGATATAAAACAAAGTTCTCACGGAGAAATATTGAGTCTCCGAATCAGAAAAAATGGAGCGATCGTATGTTACATACGACGATATGTAGTATCTTGAAAGTGAAGTTATCTTTCTCTCTCTTTTGTAGATATAGCAACTCGGAATTCGCCTTTAATTCCGACCGACCCTTAGGCACGAATAAGTCTAATATAATTAATTTATTATATACATATAATGCAATATTAAATACCAAACTTAATGCTTGCGAGCACCGCGACAATTTGACAGTTCTCTGACACATTTCACATTGCGGACCCATCGGATTCTGGTGCTTGCACGCTATCTAGCTCTAGCACGAAAAAGAAAAGCATCCTTAGGCTTTAATGTTATCTCACCTATCCTCTCTTTCTCTTCTCTCCCACACGCACACACACATACACACACACACGTATACACAGTTTTGTTATGCGTACTTAAAAAAAAATCAATTGCACAAATCGGCATATTCATTATAATAAGAAATGCAAAGATCTTACAGCGAATAAATGTGTGTGCGTTAGCTCGATAAAATCAATTGACTGCTTAACAAAATGATTTGTTTTCTCTCTCAATGTGATATGGTAGATCTTTTTTTCTAACACATTGTGTGTGTTTGTCCAATAAATATGAAAGTCACACACATCTAATACATATATATATACATATATATATAGATACATATACATATATACGTATGTATATATTACCTCGTGCAACTTTTCCCCTGTTTTATTAAAAATAATATAAACTCAAATTTTATTATTGTTTTTTTGTTTTATCTCAATTGATCAAAGAACTGGATAGGAATCAAATATGTTAATCCTCATCTTCTTCGCCGCCAAGATTTTCTTCGCTGTCCTGCCGATCGACTGCTACAAAAATAGCTACGAATCCTTTGTACGAAATTGTATCGTCCGTTCGAAATCTTACCAGCAGAGCTTCGTTCATAGAGATAAAATCCGTAGTATTCTGCAATATACACGATATGCAATTTTTACATGAACTTTTAAATAATAATATAAAAGAGCTATTTTGTCACGCTACTTGAGTAAATATCGCGTTACTTACGGAGTTACCACAAAATCGTCCATACGGTGGACTGGATGCGTCTAAACCGGAGAAGACCTCGACGAAGTCGTAACCGCACTCGGTTTCGTATTCGAGTTGAAATGCGAGAAATGACAAGTGAACATTTTTGCCAAGTGGCGCCTCTATTACCCAGTCGCAATCAGTCCCGTGATCGTAATGATTATAACCGTATTTGGGATGAGAATATAAATGCTTTACTTTGTCCGTTGCCATGAGATGACCGCCGCAAGCTGTAACAATCGCGTATATAAGATATAGCACGGCGCTATTACTTTCGCGTAGCGTCCAAAGTTTGGACCAAGAAGCGCGTATGCGCGCAATAAAATCCAGATGGATTCACTTTTGGGACTGGGTCATAAATTTTCTTGGCCGCTCGGGACGAACGACAAGAGAGAAAACTTGACAAAAGAAAAAGGTCAGCCATAAAAATGTCAACTTTTATGACGTTGTTGTTTGCAACGGCAAGAATGTAAAAACAAATATTTAGGTTGAAAGGATATGCGGTGAAGAAAAATATTTTGTATTATTTTTACGAGCAGATATTCGTCTCACCCATGAATATCTATTATATGGCAACATCAGTGTTTACCGCGTTTTCAAGCTACAAAATATTTTTCTCATTACGAGACTCGTCCGTATTTTGTCATTATTGTTATTCACCTGTGCTATGTGTTGCTAGAAATCCTTTTCTCTGCACGGACTCGTCACTTTTGAAGACCATATACATTTGATTGCCCGTTGCGAGAATTGGATGTGGTTCCTTGGTACCGCAAAATCTGCCCAGGGTAATGCTCTCCGGCGAATCTCCGTCGTAAATAGCGATGTGATCGTATGCGCATTCTTGGTGCGGCTCCATCTCGAACACTTTAAAAATCTACAAAGATGTTGTTGAAAATTACCGTCTCGTAAATAGTTTCTGTGATTTCTCTTTTTGTTTTTAGTTTTTTGCTACTTTTCAAATATCGAAGAGAGCTACTCTTGCGATATTAAAGAGATGCGTAAAATTGTAAAAATAAAAATATAAACCAGTTTTATTCGATGGCCAGGCTTCGTTGTAAAATGCCAAACGCAATCTTTACGACCGGGATAGTAATCTGGGTAGTTGGGCGAAGTGATCGTTCCCGTGGGCGCGGTGATCTCATATTTGCAACCACCCTCTTTGCAGTCATGACCGTTCTCGTGAAGCGTGAAACCATTGTGGCAAGAGCACTGATAAGAACCTATCGTATTTTTGCATTCGTGCTGACACCCTCCGTTGTTATTGGCACATTCGTCCATGTCCGTAAAGAATACGGCAGCGAAGCCCGACTTTTGGACGCTGTTCAATAAAACAGTATAATGCAAATAACATTGAGCACTTTAGCACGAATATATGCCGATATTTATGATATAATATATTGTTGTAGTAAAATTGCAAGACGATGTATAATATTTTAAAAAAATAACGCTTCGAAAAATACTTTGTATTATATAACATGTTTATACCGTCGAAAAGATTACATTTTTATTTAGCGCGCTCTTTTTTATTTTGTTATTACAGAAAACATTTCCCAAAATTTTGGATTTTTTTTTTTTTTTTTTTTTAGCTCTATTGAAAATAGTTGAAAATAGTTTCGCGTATACACGCATATAATTATTTATATATTTTCCAGTTTTTTTTTGCACGATTAGAGGACAAATGTTTTATTATTTTAACAATGTTATCACGTATTCAAAAAATTAAACACAAGCTTCATGAAAAAAACGACAGTTCTCGTCTTCTGCTTTATAGAATGCTTCTTTGATGCACGAAAAAATCAACGTAAAAAAAATGAAATAGAAATAACGGAGTTAATGGGAACAAACGGGATGAAACCTGTTATCAGATGTGAAGGTAATTCTCATAAAATTGCCTTCGGATGTGATCAGTGGGGGTAATCGCGCGCCGCAAAATATCCCGTGCTTCCTGAGAACGTCATCGCCGAGCTTGCTCGCAATCTCCACAAAATCGTACTCGCATTCCTCCTGATAGACATTGTTGCTCTCAAGATCGAAATGCGTGAAATTTAAAGTGATGCGATATTGAGGTCGAGCAACAATTTCCCAGACACAGTTTTTGTTACCTGGATACGTCTCGGGAAACGACGGACTTGTAATGGTGCCGTTATCATCGTCAAAATAACCACCGCAAGCATCTGTCGAAAAAAATCGCAACTTTCTTATAGAAAAGTGTGTTTGAGCGCGCGTGAAAGAAAAAAATTGACTCAAATTGTAACTTGAGAGAGAGAGAAAAAAAGCGCGCGTGTCTTTTACCTTCGCAGTGCTTGCCGTCGGAATGTAACTCGTAACCAACTTTGCAAGAACATTCGTATCCACCGAGAGTATTGATACAATCGTGCTCGCAACCGTGATCCGTCGACACGCACTCGTCGAATTCTTAAACAGCATCGTTTTCATTGTGAAATATATACTTCGCGCGCAATAATCATGCTAATTGTAAAAAACATTGCGGTGTACGTACGTGTGTGTGTGCGCGTGTGTGTTGATTTTATGTTGTCATTCTGTTAGTCGTTGATATGCGTGAACATGTTAAGAAGCAAAAAAAAGAACATAAAGCAAATTGCAACCTGAAATTGATACCTTTCATGAAGGTTGCTGAGAAGCCAGCTTTTTGTACGGAACCGTCGCTGACAAACTTAACGAGCAGCTTGTTCCCCGTTGACTTGATGTCTGGCGGTATCTTGTAGCCGCAATAAACACCGATTAATGGGGAATCGTCGCTGTGCCCATCGCGCACTTCGACGTAATCGTACACGCATGTGTCGTGATTCTCGATCTCAAAAGATTGAAACTTCAAGGCTACTTGATAGTCCTGAGGCACGGAAAGCCTCCACACGCATTCCTTACTGGATTGGTATTCTTCCGGATAATTCGGCGATTCCAAATGACCAATACCGTCCAATTCGACATCGCCGCCGCACACGGCCTCGTAAGTCGCCGTGAAACCGCGATGGCCATTCTGTCTGCTGGACGTCACGTATGTTACCAGCATGCGACTCGCGCTTGACACCACTGGCTCGTGCATTTTGCCACTGCCGCAATATCGACCTGAATTAAATTAATTGAATGAACGCGACGAATTATATACAACGGCGAATTTCGCGCGGAGAACATTAGCGAATTAGATGGAATCTCGAGCTGTGCTTTCATTCTGAATCGCGCTCTGCTCTCGCATCGGTGATATTTGAATATTTTGATCTAAGAGCATGAAAAATATTACACGCAAACAAAAAAAAAGAGAAGTGTGTATACAAAGTTAAAAAAGAAAAAAAATACACAAAATTCTCACCCAACACACGGCTCTTGTGCCAATATCCGTCCCGAATCTCCAGATAATCGCTGTGGCAATAATCGCTTTTGAATATATCGAGAGACGTGATATTCAAAACGATACGTTCACCGTGCGTTGCCGTGATCCTCCATTCGCATAGTTCCCCCTCTATGGGTGGGGAATTGTTCGGATAGATGGGCGATCCAAAAGTACCACTATTCTCTTGAAAGGTCCTGCCGCATTCTGCGAATTTATTTTCGTATCGATTTACATTTCATTGACGTTAAACTGTCAGAGATCACACAGCATCTTTTAGAAAGAAGGGATTCAACGCGAGAGAAAATTTGTAAAATCTTACTTTTAGCGTGTTCACATAAAATAGCACGCTTTACTTATTGATGCACGTATCCTACTTTCGCATGTCACCAATATAGTGGTTTAATTAGTTCACACACGCAGACACACACACACACACACATACTCCAAAAAAGATCAACAAACATGTTCTCGTCTAAAAGATCAATATCTATTCGTAATCGATGCTCTTATCTTAGAACTATTAAAATTCCCGAAAAGCAATACGTTGATATTCTTACTGTGACATTTGTATAAAAGATTCGTTTGCGCGATGTCGCCCTCGCTCAACCTTATTCTTTGTCCGATTTCGGGTCTCTTTTTTCCATGAGT